GCGCCGCGCTCCCGCACACCGCTGAGGGCCAGCTCGGCTCTCCCTCCGGGCAGCGCTGTCCTCCCGACGTCTCACTGCGCCGGGAAGCATTGCCGCACTTCAGGCGGCTTAGGATGTCAGCAAGCTCCGAGGAAGCCTGAGCAGTCGTGTAGAAACTGGGGATAATGGATCTGTAACTCTCAGCTCCTCTGTAAGAACTGCCCGTGTAGTCAGTGTTTGACACACCTGCAGGTGACCGTAGGTGCTGTATTTCAGAGGCATCCGGCATACATCCACCTGTTAGACAAAGGGAAAAATGTGCCCACACGATTTTCTTTTGTAGGATTGAAGCCGCTCGATGTCCCGACGTGGTTGTGGCACAAATAGACCCCAGAAAACTGAAAAAGAAGCAGACAGTAAACGTTTCAGTAAGTTTGAGAGTTTTTACACATTTTGAGAGGGGGGAAGAATAAAGAGGAAAGATGTTACTATGGTGATGTTTGTACTAATATTGGAGAGTCATTGGCATAACTAAATAGCACTGCTGGATTTTAAAAGCATCTACAGTCTGGGTTTGCAGAAACAACTGCTCAGCTGCTGGTTAACAGCAGTCTCTATAACTGATAAAATTGTTAATATCCATGCTATTTAATACACAACAGACTATTTTACTGTCTGAGGAAATCAAATGTTGCATTAAAGTATTTACAAGTATTCAATCAAAAAACATGGATAAATTTTAGAAGAAAGATATCTCCATAGGTGTCTTGGGGTTTAAATCTATATCTAGCATAAGGGTAGTAAGTGCCGCTGAACTTTATTAAGGCTAGGTAAAATTCTAGCACCACTGCTTTCCTTTTTGGTGGAATATTCTATTGGAATTTTTCCTTACTGCCTAAGCAGATTTTTCCATTATCATATTGCCCTGCCAGCTTGGTTTTTAATCTGCTTTCAGATAGTTCGAGACTGAGTTTGACTTTCTCTAGCAAAAACTATGTAACCTGAAATTTCACTACTATGTTGCTCAAGTGTTGGGGTCCTTGCGAGGGGGGGACACACCAATATGATGCTCTGATAGTCAACTTTATTTAGGGCACCTAACAGTATTTATAATATAAAGTCTCCCGTACATGCAGCTACGCGCTGATCACACAACTTTGGATTGTTTGCTCAGCTTGTCAATGCTTACAATTTTTACCTATGATAGGTTACAAGTTTAAGCTGCATCCTGCTCTCACATCCTGGGAAACTGATAGCAAGAGCTACACAGTGTCTATGAGAACCTAAACAACAGCACTATTCTTAGCTTGTTAGCAATATAAGGCAGTAAAACCAAAACCAAACCTAAAAACCCTGGCAGCAGGAGAAAACAAGACCATTATAAAGTGTTGGATTGAAGACACAGGAATGCATGAAGATAGAAACAAGGTCAGCAAGACCTGTTTTGTGCGTCTTGTTTTTAATTGCTTAAGCATTCCTTTAACTGTTGGTCAAGTTACAGCTCCTCTGCTAGCCAGGCCCCAGCACTCAAGGAAAGCTTCTAGCACTGACATGACCATGGAACTTCTGTGACCCTTCTCTTCATCCATCTTAACTATTTATAGTGGCATTCCTAAATACTTGTAGAAAGATTTTTATTTTTTTAATAACCCTTTCATGCTAATCTTTAAAGAGGTTATATCTGCTTGATTTTCTAGAAGCTGTTTTTGTGTCTTCTGTCTTCCTCAACTTACCTTGACAAGTAGAATGCCTATGATGCATAGCATCTGTCTGCTTTTTATAAACAGGGAGCTTAAGGCAGAACAATTGCTAAAAGGAAGACTTTAAATATGTATTTTGAACACTTAGTTTCCCTTCTTATGTACATATGACAAGAGTCAAACAGAAGAAATTTTGTCTAAACCAACTCCTAAGGTCAGTCTTGGATGTGGTCATGAAATTACCTTTCTTAGATGAAGATTTAAAGGACATTGTTTGACTATAAACATTTACTGATGCTTTTGTTTTTAAGATTTCTTGTAAAGCTTTCTTTACATTATAATTATTGCCAGTGTTTTCTTAGATTTCTGGATGTCAGCCTGCTCCTGAAGGATACTCCCCAACACTCAGGTGGCAGCAGCAGCAAGTGGCCAATTTCTCAGCTGTTCGTCAGGTACAAAATATTGTCTGTGAGGAGTCTTGCATGATCTAGATAGAACACATCTGTGCTCTATGGGGGACAACTTTACATCTCATATAGGAACAGTATAGCCTTTGTGGTAGGATAGATGTTGGAAGGCAAATGTTTTAAGTCCTTGAAAAATAATTGAGTATATACCGTGTGGCTTTTAAACCTCTGATAAAATTCTTGAGAGGCATGTTTACAAAAATTCTCCTTCAACTTCAGCAAAAATATATCAGTACTTAGTTTAAATGATATGAAGTAGTTGAAGAAGAACAAAAACCTCTATGATGTTATGCAGTTATATTAAAACCTAGTGCTAGCAGGAAATGTTCTGCAGAACTCAACATTAACTATAAGTGTAGAACCCACCAGAAGATTCATACAGTAGAACACACTGTCCATTCAGGAATGGGTTGACTGTGGTGGCACCCACTGTGTGGAGAAATATTCTTTTTGGTCAATGTATTTGTAAGGTTGTACTGTTAGCACAGACCAAAATCTTTTCTACTGCATTCTCACTCTGCTCGTAACTAACAGAACAGAAAGGGAAAATTAAGCAGTCTCAAAAGGTAAAAATTTTAAGTTCAGCTAAGCTTTACTAAAGTTTTAAGCTGAAAGAGAGTCGATTTAGATTAGATATAATGAGGGTGGCGAAGCACTGTCACAGGTTGCCCAGAGAGGTGGTGGTTGCCCCATCCCTGGAAACATTAAAGGGTCAGGTCAGATGAGCCTGATCCAGGTGAAGATGTCCTTGCCCATGGCAGAGGGAGTAGACTAGATGACTTTTAAAGGTCCCTTCCAACCCAGATCTTTTTATGATTCTATTATTCTCTATGCACAGCTCAAACAGGGTGAAATGCAAAAACATAATAAAGATGTAGGTAGAGCTCATTTGTGACTCCAGTACTGCACACAGCATGTTTACAGGGTGTTGAGGCTGCATTGTAGGAATGCCTGAAGTACTGAGGTATGAGCAGCTGTGCTGAAGCTGCTATAGCACTGAACTCTGCATGTGTTTTTCAGGAAGGAAAATCAGTGACGGTGGAGATCCGTATGACTGCACCTATATTGTAAATGTTACCCAAGCTGGCCCCTGATTCTATGAGGGATTACGTTGCACACTATATTATAATCTAAGGTCTTAGCAGAACTAAGGAAACTGACATCTATAGGCATATTCACTATATAGATAGTTCTTTTATGCACAGATCAATTGTCTTCTCATCTGTGCCAGAATTAACATTGTAAAGTAGGAGACTATCCAAAAAAATACATAAAGCCAAGAACATCAGAAGTCACTTGTTCGAACACTGCATCAGCTGTAGCTCAGAGTGTTTTTAGTGCTCTTTTATACAGCTATGGTAACATCTGGATTGGGAGTCAAATTTCTTCTGTTACAAAACGCTTACATCTCTCTATAGGAAACTGTCAAGCAGGCCAATTTGTCTTACCTTGTCGGGTAGAAGAAGTGTGCTGAGAAAGCACACTTGCCTTCTTTCAAACAGTTCTGTAGACCTTTGATACGGATACAGACCACTGCTGGAAACAGGATATTGATTTCATCTGCTTTTGGATTCAGTCAAAGTAGGTTTTTTCTTAACCTTGTCATACCAAGGACAAGTCTAGAAGAGTATTAAGGCTCACTACCTCAACTTGATGTAGTAAACTTCAGAATTCCTTCAGCTTTAACATTACTTTCAAAACCCCACCATGAGCATCTTAATTTCTGCTAAGAGGCATGGGAAATATTTAGCCAGTTGTGTTGGCTATAAATCCAGTGATTTATAGACAATCATAAAATACACCTTTAATACATTTTGAGAATAATGAAGAGCAGTTCTGGCTAGGATAAAATAACTGCAAAGGTAAAATGTGACTTGGCTTTGCTTTTATTATGCAGAGCCTGAACAAGCACAGAAATCACTGGCGGTCACAACACTTGGACAGCAACGTTACTATGGTGAGTAGAATTCCCAACAGTGCTCTCTGGTTTGCTTTCCCAGTCATTAAATCCATGGTTAATCTTGCTTTATAGTTTAATGCAACAATTCATGTATATTATCAAGTCTTTTCTCCAGTGTCTTGAAGATAGAAGTATTACACAGTTTTCATTTATTTTGATTTACTTCAGCCAAAACCAGAGGATGAAGAAGGCTGGAAGAAGTTCTGCCTGGGTGAAAGAATATACTCAGAAACAGATACACTATCCGATAATTTAAACCTAGGAATTGATTACACAAAGGTGAGTATTGGGCTTCTGTCTACTTTTCAGCTGCTATTTGCTAGACCAACTGCCAAAACCAATCCCACTGTTTATTACTACCTTGTGCAAAATAGAAGATAGGCTCTCTGGTGAGCCCAGAAAGTCCCATTTTTCCTTCCTTTTAAGTGGAAGCTAAGTGAAGCAGAGAACAAGTCTATCTGAACTGAATGGAAAGCTTTCTGCATAGTCTGCTTTAGTGTTTTGTTGAATAGTGATATGTGGTTGACCCTCGTATGTGCTACCCTACAAGTATGCCCATCACTGCATCGTTGTGAAAAACACAAAACAAAGCAAAGCTCTCGGATGCCAGATTTGACTGGACCTGATCTTGAACTTGCTTGAAGATATTTTTCAATAGATTTCAAAACTCAGAACAGACTTTCAAATCACTAGAAGTGGCTGAACATCACATTAAAATGTTAGCACGTTCTAAATTAGAAGAAGAATGTTCATGATAATGTTTGCATTTTCCATCTTCATTTTTTTCAGGTGGGCTTTCCACCTTTGCTAAGTATTGTAAGCAGGATGAATCAGGTAAGCCTACCTCTCAGAATATGAGAAATCATGATTTAGGCAATGTCACTGTGTGATTCTATCTGTTGCAGAAGTCTTAGCTGTTTTTCTGTGCCTGGAGTAGGCGACTCTTATTACAACTGCTATTCACTGCACACTTAGAAGGAAAACACAAAATTGTTATCTCACCATCAGCCACAAATAACTTTATTATGGAACATTTGTAATGACAAGTTTTAAGACTATTTTGTTGTTATAATTCCTCTACAGAACAATTTAATGTTAATTTTTGCTGAATACCCCATCAGGTGCTTGAGAATGTTTTAAGATTTCTCATTTAGTGCTTCCAGTGCAGTCCTTGAACTTGATTGTGAACTTCTGTGTGCATTGCAGGGCTAGAACTATCACACTTACCTTTGTTTTGTATTTCCCACTAGTCACCTTTATACAGAAACCATCAGTCAGTGTGATAATCTTCAGATAATGTGAAGTTATTCACCCATAACTTTTTGTTAACACAGAAAATTACTTCTATCTGTGTAAAGTTCTTTCCAGGAATTTTTGCTGTAACAAATACTTTATATGTAACTTCAACCTGGAATAAATACCATGTAGTATCACAGTGGAGTAGAAATTTCATTTTATATTATAAAATCCTTCAGGTAGGACAGCAAAACAAAACGTTGCAGGTGTTGTATCATCTCTCTCTGTCCCTCTTTTGAAGGCAACAGTAACCAGTGTCTTAGAATACCTGATAAGCTGGTTTGGAGAGAAACAATTTACTCCAGAACTGGTAATTTTTAATTTATTCTGACTACTTGCACATGAATGCATGAAACAAGGGATAAATTGCTCACAGTTTTCTATAAAATTACTTTAATTTCCAAGGAGTTCTCTAGATGGATGTTATTGTTACTTTCAAAACTTTCTTGATTACATACTAAAATGAGTATTCACAGAGCTTTTTGAAAGGCTAATTAAAACATAGCAGGTACGGATCTATCAAGTACTGCCAAAACCCCCTCTCCTTTTTATCCCTCCCCACACCAACTTAATCCACAAGGCTAGATGAGTGTTGGCATTGGGTGGGGGAGAGGGTCAGACTGCAGCAGCTTTGGTTCTGACCACTTTAACCTGTCAGGGTGCTGGCAAAGACATTTCATCTTTCCACATGCTTAGCTGCATTAGTGTGGTGACAAATCAAACCCACTAAGAAATCCTGGTTGACATGGCACATTGGCCACTGACTGGCTGTGTATTGCTATCTTACTACAGCAAACCTTGATGAATGCATCTCATTCAGTACCACGCAGCAAAAGAGTGATGACAGATTACTTACATGATACTAAACAGAGTTTCACTGGTTTCAAGTCACTTAAAGGCCTTTCATGTTGTGTCCTTTTCTGTAGAACTGTTTTCTTTTAACCACTATGTTGCAAAGAATGTGTGCGTTGACTCTCAGTTTATTCCCACAACGAAAGCCACTGGAATTAAATTAAGCAGTTAGACTGGCAGCAGAAGCTACATTTCTAAGAATGCAGTATAATTCAGTGAAGTAAAATGCAAAGTACATGTTTTCACAGTGGTGCAAATCTTAAAGCAGATCTAACCACTAATTCCATAAAGATCTGAGTTGATACATTCACTCTTTAGGAATATTTTCCCAGTCTGTGAAGTGAAAAATGAACAGTCAAGTAATAATCTTTACATATTACTAAAATAATCCTTCCCTCAAACTTTAATAGTGTAAGCTGTGTTAATTTATATCTTGGCCAGCATTCAAAAACTACCAGGAAACCCAGGAGTACTACTCACAGGAGTCTTATCTAGAGGCACAGAACTCTACTCCGTAGTGTCTAATTTGGTTTCCAAACTTCAATTCTGGCAGTAGCACTTAAACACAATTTTTTTGAGACCTACACTCCAGGTCCTCCTCTATAGAACAAGAACTGCTTGAATGTTCGTGGAAACGCTTGTAATTAAAACTTTGACTCCTCACAGGGTAGATGGCTTTATGCACTGTTGGCATGCCTTGAAAAACCTTTGCTACCTGAAGCTCATTCCCTTATTCGACAGCTGGCAAGACGATGTGCAGAAGTCAGGGTACTAGAGGTAAGATTTAACATTGTGCAAAGGACTTGGTGAATTTGGCAGATTAGGAGGATGATTTTTCAGTTCTTGAAGTCTTAGTAATTCATTTTTCATGTCCTAAGTTTGCCTAAGAATGAAGGGAAGACTACAAACATGCTACATGGCATACAATTGCTCTTCTATTTGATACAGATTAACAAGAACTGTTCTACTATTTATTTCTTTCTCAGGAGAACAAGAATGAAGAAAATATGTCAGCTCTGAACTTGATAATCTGCTTAGTTAGCAGGTAATGCAACTTCCACATCTAAACCAGTCCCGTATATCCAGCATAAAATGTGTGATTACTCATCCTAACCGAGATTCTTTGAAAAGTGAGTCAATGATAGTGCCCTGGGCCTGTGTAGCAAACATACTTCGCTAAGAGGACTTAAGACTATTCTTTTCCTCAGATGAGCTCCCTGGACCACAAAGCTATAATTACGATAGAAACATTAAAATAGCTGGAAAGCTAGAAAGGGTCTAACAACTCAAAGTAAGGAGTATATTGCATTAGGGGTTTTTTACCTCATTCCATTTCATCCCACTAGGTACTTTGATCAACGTGACTTGGCTGATGAACCTTCCTAGGCTTTTGTGGGAATATCCAGCATTTTGCATTGCCATAATACAAACAGCATTATCCGAGTTACCAGAAGAGACTGCACTGGTCAGACCTGAAGTAGTTCACAATCCCTTCAGAACACCCTCACAATAATGCATTTGGGACAGCTATGAATGACTTAAGCTGAGCTTTAGCATGAGATTGTCAATGTCTCTGATACCATTGTCACCATCATCCTAAAATGATAAATGAAGTGTCTGGCATCATCTCTCAAGCTCCTGTCTTTGTAAACTACATTCTTGGTGAAAACTTTCTACCATCTGAGTGATCCTGTGGACATTGCTATTAGGTGAAGTCTGAGGTTACATTACAAGATTGTTCTTTTTCTAACAGAGGTATCGAGAGCTTTTGTAATAAAAAAGGATTTTAAAGAGTGTTCTTAAACATTGTTTTTTCTCATTCTTCATACTATATAACATCAGCCTTATTACAGAAATCCACACAGCTATGCCTGAATGTGTTTTTTCAAGTGGTGTTAACTGACCCTAAGCACTGCTAAGCAGTTCAACTACAGCCACTAAGTTACTGAAACAATTGTTTTACTAAACAAACATTACTCAGCAGTGATAGTATCTTTTAGTAAACAGTTGCAGAAACCAGTGAAAACTACACAACTGTCTTCAATGCTTTTAATAGAAGCATTTATTAAACAATTAACAAATTTACTGTCTGTATGGTATCTTGATAAATACATTAGCTCACTTATTTTATATATATTTAACATGGAGTGCTTGGCCAAGAGGATCAGCATCTGCTTGGTACGTATGTGACCCACTCTGGTTCTAACTGTCTTCAACAATTAAAAATCCATGTTAAAGGAACAATGAACTTAGCTGATAGCAGCAAATCGATACACAGTATTAAATGACATCTGCTTTCTGTGTGTTGTAGAATTTAAGTCCCTGCCCTGGCTATTAATCATTAACCATAACCAGTTATTGATACATCTTTAATATATCTGAGTGATTGGCACTTTTGCATCAGGAATGGCAGGCTTAACTGTCAAGTGAAAAATCAAGGTTAATTACAATAACTACTAGAGTGCTAATTCCAGAGATGCAAGTAGCAGATTCTGTACATGTTGATACCAAATGTCTACCCCACTGCAGATGCCTAAATGTGATGGCATTGAAATGTCCATGTATTATACAGTGCAAATTATTTCTAGTCTCTTTAGTAGTATTTCCAGCATGTTGAAAGCAGGATGAGTTGGCAACTGAAGAGTCCATGAAATTAGTTAGCTAATTCTCCAGCCCTACATCTTCAAACAAATCTGAGTTATAAAGGCAAACAACCACCACCTTCCTATAATCTACCAGAATAAGAACCCAATGTTTCTGGGCAAACTGCAGATCCCCACCGAGTACCATACCACAGTAGTTACTTTCACCTCTGCTAGTTCTATAAAAAGTGGGACAGCATTCTCCTGGTTCAAATTCTGCTCTACATGTTTTCGAGAACTGTCAAATTATTCAGCTACAACTAATCTGAACTGGCATTCACAGTACCTGAAAAGATCAGAATTTGATCACATATTAAGCTCAAGTATAATAAACCCCTGGTTATCACATTTATAATCTCCAGCTTACCAGTTTGTAACAGCTTTCTAGAAAAGGCTTGATCCATTGCAAGCTTCAGATCTTTAAGAACAGTTTTCACTGTTCTTGCCCATCATGAAACTACACAACATACACTTCTCCCAACACAGGAGGTAGTTGTGTAGGAAAGGTGCTATTATAAATAGCCTGACCTTTTTCAATTAGCCTGTTATTTAATGGTCTCAAAACAAGAAACTGAATCACTAGCACAATCACACTTGTCAATAAACACCATTAAGTTTCTATCACGATGCATTTGAAAGTAACTATTAAGACCTGAACCTGCCAACATGAAAGCCTTACAGAAAAAATAATTCAAAGTTTTAACGAGATGTTTCCTGCTTACCTACAGCAAGATAGGTATTGTTACTCAAATCTTGTTACAAGTAGTATCTAGCAAATCCCAATGTCCTCAAGAATCTTGGTGAGACAGCTTCTTGGAGGCCTAATCATCTTCCTGCACACACACAGAAGTGAGCTGCAGCTAGCAGCTAAAAACAATTACACTAATATCGAGTTTATGCACAATGAGCAAAATTTCCTTCATGATACAGGTGACCTTAGGAGTAAAATCATTCTGACACAGAAACCAGCTGCTAATTTTAGGCAGGCAGGAGAAACTGCTTAACTAGAAAAAAGTTCTCTTTTTTACTGCCCCATACAACTCCTACAAAGGAGCTAAGCCTCCACCAACATGGTTAATGAATGTTGTTGGTTCACATGCTGTTGTCTTCCTCAGAGGAATACAAAAGCTGTCACTGCCTCACAGTTCAGAGGGAATAGGGAGAGGTAGCACTTGGGCATTCACATTATGTGACACAACACACATTAGTTTCTTAGTCCTGGCCAGGCTTTTACTCTGTTCTCCAACAGTGTCTCCAGTCTTCCAGATGTGCTCTTTTGGTATTTGAAATATTTTGCTGAAAACTTTTGAGTACACAGCTTTTACCACGTGGGCATTAATGCCTTGGTATAGAATAAATTTCATCCCAAGATACAAGATTAGTTAAGTTGTTTCAATCAACATTTATTATATATTTTGGAGCTGTGCTGCACACTGCTATAATTTACAAATTATATACAAGACTGAGTCCATACACTGAATCCACACACAAAGGATTTTTAAGGTAGATACCCAGATTTGAACGTGCTCTACATCTTCTGTATCATCACCTGAAATTTACCTGCAAAAAAAGCAAAGTCATGTCACATTATTACCATTAGAGTTATTTCTCTGAGTAATTATTTTCTTGCAATCAATTTTTAAAAGAAATGGAACATTTCAATCTTATAGTTCAGCTGTAAACAATCGAGCCATTATTTAAATTTAGCATTTAAATTTTAACTCCAGCTGAAAAGCTTTTTCTCTCTTTTCTTTTTTTTTACCCTGTAAGTTAACCCATGTCTCACATTGCACAAGTTTTCTCAGCTGAATTTAAAATTTATATGAAGTCAGTGGAAAATCTTTAACTGAGCAGCTTAGGTAGTTACAATGGGCTTCACCTCCTAACTTCCTTAATGACTCCTGCAGAGAGAGAGCAGGCATCAAGTTGTTTTCATCTGCACTTGTTTAAATAGCCTTCTGGACATACATCCTTATGCATTTGATGCTTTCAAATGGAAATACAACTTTTTAGTTTTGCATTCCACACACCATCACGGAGGTTTATCCTCTGTCAGTATTTCCTAAACACTAAACCATTTAGTGACAAGGCAAATCCTGAAGTTCATATTGACTCCTATGGCCCAGCAGTCTCAAACTAATCCCACCTTGATAAATGCTTATACAGTGATGAAAGTCAGGGAAGTTACCACACCAGCTAATAATTGAGTACTCCAAGAACTACTTACATGCAGGCATTGATGAAACTTCAGCTGTTACAATGCTCTTTATTCCCAAATTGGATAGGCCTCCTCTGATTAGTCCACAGGTAAATGCTAAATACTAAATACAAAGTTGCACTTAAAATGAGTGTCAAGGGTGAAACTTGTTGATAAACATTGAAACTAACAAGACTTGGGCAGAGCTGACAATACAGATTGCTCTTGCTAGAGGCACCATTTGGAGTCACTTGTTTCTATTTGCATTAAACCTGTATGAACTTATTATCCTTAAAACAATTATTCATATGACTTGGCTGACTGGTATTGAAGTCAGAATCATCATGGTTGGAAGAGACCTTTAAGATCATCTAGTCCAACTGTCCACATAGCACTACCACGGCAAGCCCTAAACCACTAAACCACATGTAGTTAACAAAGAAGAAAGTCCAGGATAGCATCCTTGCACAGGCCACATCTTATAATACAAGGGCCAGGAGATATATTAGAATATATGTTACAAAACAGAAAAAATATCTCACCAAACAAACAAAAAAAAAATCCCAAGGACAGTAGCCAGCAATTGTGAAGACTAAGAACATCAAGAATTAAGAAAGCTGAATGTCTCATTTTTTACATCCACCTCTATAAGAGTGCTTTATAATAGGTTTTAGAGACTGATTTTATCTACCTGAACTAAGACTCTAACTCAGCATCTACACTCACAACTATTTTTAACTGGTGGAAGATCTTTCTGAACATTCATATCATCTCATCTGAGAACTTGTTCAAGGTGACAAATAGCATCTTGCAAATGTGTCTTTCCCCAAAGAGAAAGGATCTGTGTGACAGTGGCAGATGGTGGCAGAGGAGCTTCCACCATCAAGTAACTCAAATGTAACACCAAGTTTCACAACGGCCATGACTGTTTCTTGAACCAAAAATCAAATCCTCTGTGCTAAGACAAGGTGCCTTTCTAGAGAGTACACAGGTTCTGAAGACTAATCTTTAGCTGCTCACTTAATAAGTGTGTATCCATTCAATTAAAAGGGTACCTTTGGTGCATGTTCCAAATACTGCTTTCCTGCAGACATTTGCGTCAAGAGACGAAATTTATTGTCTTGAAGGACATAAATACCCTGGTTAAAGACAAAAAAAAAAAGGTGAGTTTTTTTAGCTGAATGTGCAATAACACAATCTACATTTTATGGATTTGATTTGTAGATCAAATATAAATGTTCTCAGGTTGAAAAACAAAATTTTTAATTAAGGCATATATGATTTAAGTTTAATTGTACTATTTACTTACAAGGAATATCAAACCAAAAGATACTGAATTGTGAGTTTACAACAAAACCCTAAATAATAGTATGATCAGCTGACCCTAAAAAATATTTATATACATTTGTTCTTGGGAGAGTCCTTCCAGTGCTCAGAAACAATGGCTCCATACTAGAAAGTCTCTGGTAATACATCAAATGCATACTGATTTTGCCATTCAACTCTCAATCTTATTTGGTATGTGATTCACTATTCTTATTCCCAATTCAGTGGGAATTATCTTCCCTAACAGCAGTACAGGCAACAACACTTAGCAGACAATCCAGTCAAAGGTCTAGTGTTTTCTACATTACAATTTTGTGCAATAATATCCATCTTTGCTAATGACTGTGCTTCTCTGGAACTTCATAACCCCTGAACTTAAATTAAGGCTGCATATACCATTAAGACCTTAAGCTGAATACTGCAGCTTTCTTTGAATTAAAAAACAGATTTCTAAGGTAACTAGTGTCTGTTAAAGTAATTACTTGATAAATAACTCACTGAAAAAAACCCAACTTATTTTATTTGGCACAATCCTTGTACAAATTCTCTTCTTCCTAATTTGACACAACAGGAAAATGTCCATAAGGAAACCAAGCCACTCGATAGAAAAAAGATTTTTATACGCTAGTCAAATGGCTGCTTCAATTATTTCAATCTTGCTTTAACAACTGTGGCTGTTGAGATAAGCAAGGACATGGACACAGCACAATGTCAGCACCATGCAAATTTGAGAAGTTTTTCAGCTTTTTTCTACAAGTATGTTTAACACAGTGCAACTACTGTCTTCAAGACTAAGTGTTCTCAAAATAAAATAAATACTTTGAGGCAGCCATTCTAATTAAATAGACATTAAAACAGTATTACTTCTTCACACTAGTTTTTTACTAACGTTTATTAGGAGATACATTAAAAAAGTTCTTGTTTAAACGTTAAGCAACTATAACCATCACTGTCCCCTCAGCATTAAGTCTTTTCAAACAGGGTGGCAATAAAGACATCACAAGCAATTATTAAATTGTATTTTGAAGCTACATGCTAACAGGCACCTTAAAAACCTCCTTTTTAAACAAAACAAAGAACATTTCAAGTTTCTTATCAGGCAATTAATTCTAGACCAAGAAAACCAAAAAACTGTGCAAGCAACTCAAAGCTGTTACTGATTTTGTAAGTTAAATCTTACTCTCAGCATTAGTACCTGATGATTAGTCCTTAGGTTGTCTATTTGTTTTTTGAATACAGTTGTCCAAAAATCTTTGCAAATGAACTTCATAATATCTAGTTCATCCTTGAACCTGGCAGTATCTTTTGTAAACCTAAGAGATAAGTGAGAAATATATCAATAATGATGGTACACACAATTTTTAACAAATGGTACTACACAACATTCTTTTTGAGGCTGTTAGAGAACTTAGTTTCCCAAGATTGTACAGTATCATTCTAGCACTTCTGCATTCACCAAGTGTTTTGATTTAGGAGCAACACAGCATTTTCTTAACACCTGCAACATGGCTGCAGAATAAATTGTTTTAATCCTGTGACTATTAAACACGCCTGCCATACAGAAAGATCCAAGGCACTGCATCAGTTTTTATATTCAACTCAATGTCTAAATAGAAAACAAACAAAACACTTACACCTATGCTACTTCTTGGAAGGAATCCTCCAGATACGCAAAAGAGCTCTAACATATAAGGTCAAACATGTAAACCTCATCCCTGTTTTTCAAAAAGGGACCTATCTCTCTTGCTTATTCCAAAAATCTCTCTCTTCATCCTCCCCAAGGGTCTTTATCTGGCACTAAGGCAGCACTTTGCTCAATGACAGCATGACTGCCCGAGGAAACAAGGAGGCAACATGCTCATCGTGAAGGGTCCAAGGAGTGGGGGTGATTCACACAAATGAAACAGAGCAGTAGCCAATCATAGAATTATGTTTAGGAAATAAACTAGAAAGAGAAGAAATACGCAAAACACACCAGAAGTAGGAACCATGCAGTAACTCTACACAAAGTGGAATTAAAGGTGGTTCTAAGCATCGAAAGTAACTATACTCCGACCGGTTTCCACGGCGGGAAGCACAAGGGGAGCACTTACTCCAGAACTGTCCTGGAGTTCTGGAGTAAGTTCTGGAGCTCGAACAGAGGTCCCCGCATGAACGGGATAACAGAACGGCTACTGCCAGGAGCACACCCGCGGCACAACCCGCTGC